AAAATGTGATTAGTATTGCCATAATGCAACCCTGCTGCGAGGTTGCAAAATGTAGACGCGTAAAAAACATACCTTTGAGTGTGACAAAATGTAGACGGCGTCGTTTTCCAATTTTGTATGGGAAACAACAACACCACAGATTTTACGGTTAGAAAACGTCTTAAAATGTAGACGTCTACATTTTGAGACACTATTTGGAACGAACTGTGAACACCCCAATTTAAAACCCATTTTTTTGTAAAAAGAGCTCAGCAAAAATATTTTCAGGAAACAAAAATTAACTTAAAGCCTTCCAAGCTCGTTCTTCAAATTGATTTTGCCGAGAATTATAGGTTGACGCACCAAAACGAAATACAAAGTGCTCATTTCAGCTACCGCCAGGTAACAATTTTTCACTGGTTCACTGGTGCTTCTCAGTCGTTTGCAGTTATAAACGATAAACTTACGCATAATAAACACGACGTATTTGTTTTTGTTTTAAACCTTTTAAAATTAAAAGAAATTATGGGCATTTTTCAAAGATTTTAATATTTTATGATGGAAGCTGCGCTTAATTTAAAAATAAATACATTTTGACAAGCTTGAATGACATTATTAAACAAATTGGATGTATATATATGGAATGGAATTTTTTTGCTAGTTCTCACGGAAAGGGAGCCGTTGATGGAGTTGGAGCCGTCACTAAAGAAAAGTGTGGCAAATAACAAAATCTAAAAACGTTGTTTTACCAGATGCACTATCGTTTTATCAATGTGCACAAAACAACACAAATGGAATTAAAATGAATTTTATGCCATCTGCTCAAATGGAAGGAAGTGAAAAATGTTCCAGGTATATCCCAGTTGCATTCGTTTTGTTGCGATGGCCAACAGTTAGAAGCAGCTAGGACTGCATATTCCATTAAAAAAACTTTATTTGACATTAGTAATACTATTCTCAGTTAAGTTAGTTTCCGTTCTTTGTTTTTACATAGTATATAAGATGAATATACTTATTTTTGTTTTTCTTTATTGAAGATATTTTGTTAAGTTTATAATTTTGGTTGTGAAAATAAATATATTGAATATATTAAAAATCATTTATAATCATCTTTTGCATGTCTAATTACATAAAAAGTAAAAAAAATAAACATAAAAAGTATGATGGAACAAAATTTCGCATGCGACATGTCGCGTGCTACAGTGATTAAAATTAAATAAAAAATAAACTACTTAATATTTTTGAATAAAATAAAAAGCATTATTAAGATACATCAATGCATAACATTTAAAAATTAGTCGCATTAATATATTTCTTCAGGTTTCGCTGAAAAGTGTTTGATTTTTTTGCTTTGAAAGCGACTTCTGTTTTTGTCGCATGCGAATGGCTTGATTTTTTGTAATTATCTTGAAAATGAACAATTGGCCAAAATCAACCTTAGCACCAATCATAGTGCTAATCAAGTGCTATAGCTTTCGCCTTTTGTCAAAATAAAATAATGTTTTGGTATATGTTTTTTTTCACTTTGAATGCGTACGAATGACGCATTCGACATTGGAGAAATGCCCATATATATATATATATATATATATGTATGTACATTTGACGTTAAAATTACTTCTAACGTGAAAGTAAGTTCTCCAATGAAATAAAAATCAAATATTTTAAATTTCTTTTGTTTTAATTTCAGGAAATAACTAGATATACGATTGAAGAATAAAATAATTTTAGTATCCCAAAAAACGTATTTTAGTGAGTCCGATACTGAGTAGTATCGATACTTTTTCCCTGATACTTTTTGAGTATCGATACCATGGGCTCTGTTGCTCGACAACAAGTTAATTTGTGTGAATATGATTTTTACGGCTAGCGTACAATAAAAAATCCTCAGCTGACATCCGTCTTCGATCAATACCTTTTGCGAAGTGAAGTCCAAAGCAAAAAGCACAATATATTCTCAGTACACTTAAACCAATTTTACATATGTACATACAAAGTTTGGAGAGCAAGACTAAGGTTACCAGATTGTAAATAATACTAAATATACAATTTAATTGTAATTCAATTGAAATTCATAATAGATAAAAGTATATATAATGCCGCTAATGTTCTCCTCCAACATCCTTCCCCCGTTGAAAGGCCTGACTTTCAAAAACAATTGATCATTCCAACGGAAGGGGTGCAAGCTTTGTTATTGAGCGCCTGATGATACCCTTTGAAGTTTTCACGTCAACAACTCGAATATTGCCGTCTTTTCCAGGTATAACAGATGTTACTCGTGCTAGCAACCAATGTTGAGGCGGCGTGTTATCTTCATGGACGATGACTAGTTGACCGACATGTACATTCGGCTGCGATTGTGTCCATTTAGCGCGTCGCTGAAGTGAATGCACGTAGTCCCGTTCCCACAAAGACCAGAACTGTTGCTTTAAATAAGCTACCTTCAGCCATCTATTCAAATAACTCATTTTCTTCTCGCTGTTGTCAGAGTTGCTGTACAGTGTTTCTTCTGGCGCTGGCGTCAGCGTTGAACCTATTAAGAAATGAGCTGGCGTTACAGCTTCAGCATCATTAGGGTCGTCTGTCATTGGTGCAATCGGTCGAGAATTGAGGATTGCTTCCACTTCGATGAAAACTGTTTGAAGCTCCTCAAACGTCAGATGTGCGTTCGCAATATTTTTGAGCACAATGGTTTTCGTGGATTTCACGGCAGCCTCCCAAAGGCCGCCAAAGTGTGGTGCCCTTGGGGGTATAAAACAAAATTCGAAGTTTTTATGAGCGCTAAATGATTTTAAATTGTTGATTGTGTTTTCGCTGAGTAGTTGACTTTTCAAATTGGCCAATTTTGAGGCCGCACCAACAAAGTTTGTGGCATTGTCGCAAAAAATTTTTTCAGGAACACCACGTCGAGAGAAAAATCTGCGCAGGCAGAGCTCAAACGCATTGGTGGACAATTCGCTCACCAACTCGATATGAATTGCCTTTGAGGCAAAGCACACAAAAATGGCCGCATAGGTTTTATACGGTGGTTTACCTCTAATACGGTATGACGTGAAAAAGGGGCCGCAAAAATCAACTCCAGTAATTTTGAATGGTCGCTCGCCGCGCAGGCGATCTGCCGGAAGGTTGCCCATTATTTGCTGTACTAGGCGTGGCTTGTAATGAAAGCAGTGGACACATTGACGGACGACTTTTCTAATTACCTCTCTTGCGTTAACAACCCACAATCGTTGACGCAAAATTGACAAGAGTACTTTCGGTCCGGCGTGTAAATTTGTTCGGTGCAGGTGCTCAATGTAAAGCCAAGTGAATCTATTGCATTTAGGGACTAAAGCTGGAAATTTAGCATCGAATGGCAATTCTGAGTTAGCTAACCGACCACCTACTCTCATCACACATACTGTAGTATTGCGTAACTTCATTTCGTGCAAAAACGGAGCAAGGCGTTGCAAGCTGGATTGTAAAGATTTGTTTTCCTTCAATGCGCTCATTTCAATTGAGTATGAAGATCGCTGAATTTGCGCAATGATTTTCCAAAATGTGTCGTTTAACTCCGCTGCAGGTATATGCACGAGGTCTGTCGCTAACAACGTGTTGTCTGGTCGAACACCATTGAAACACCGATATACATATGTCAATATGCGAAGTATTCGCATGTACGATGAACAGTCACTTATAAGAGACTCTATGATTGATTTAGCGCTGTTTGTATTTCTGCTAATTAACACTGTCTTGGCTCGTACCTCAATTGGTGCTGGCAATGGCTCGTGAAGTTGTGGCCATTCATCGTCAGATTTTGCTAGGAAGTCTGGGCCCGTGAACCACATGTTAGTGACCAAGTCTGTTGATCGGCATCCACGTGAGATGATATCTGCCGGGTTCTTTGATGACGGAACGTGTCTCCAAGCAATATTAGCGCTGTGCTCTTGAAGTTCCGACACCCTATTCGCTACAAAGCAATGAAGTTTAGACGCGTGCATTTTCATCCACTGCAGCACAATTTTGGAGTCCGTCCAGAAATGTACAGTATTGATGTAAGAATCTAATTTATACGAGAATTTGCGCCAAGTTCGGCTTAATAGCACAGCAGCACAAAGTTCAAGTTTGGGCAATGAAAGTACGCGAGTTGGTGCTACCTTTGACTTCGCGACGAGTAAGCTGACCTTAACGCCAGTTGCTAATTTGGCGCGGACGTATAGGCAGCATCCATATGCTCTCTCAGAGGCGTCTTCGAAGCCATGTATGTCGCATATGTAATTTTTCGATGTGAAGACATAGCGTGGGACTTCGATCCTCGCTAAGGCTCGCAAGTCTTCCGTTAAAGCCTTCCATGTGGTGCTAGAGTGTTCATCAATCGGCGTGTCCCAATTGAGTCCTTTTAGAATCAGATCTTGCATAAAGATCTTACATCGAATTATAATAGGGCTGATTAAGCCTAGAATATCGAAAATTCGGGCAACAACAGAAAGTATTGAGCGTCTTGTACACGGTTCATTGATTTCAACGTGGTAGCTGAATACAAAATTATCACGATTCGGTTGCCATGCGATACCTAATGCCTTTGTAACCTCATGGTCACCCAATTCAATAAACACTTCGTTTTCGGATGTGGGAGTAATCTCTCTACAATTGCTGCTAAATTTGGTGAGCTGCAGTCCGGCCTTCCGCAGCAATTTAACTAGTTCATTCTTTTTGTATTGCAATTCTTCTATTTGTTCAGCTCCCGTCAAGAGATCATCCACATAGAGATCATTGCGTAGCGTGTTAGCTCCAATGGGAAATTCGTCTTGATGCAAATCAGCGATATGATGAAGTGCTCTAATTGCAAGGAAGGGTGCAGCCGACATTCCGTACGTCACAGTATTTAACGTGTATGTTTCAGTTGGGCTGGTTGGCGCAGATCGCCAGAATATTAATTGAAACAGTCTATCTTGCTCGCTGACGACGAATTAGCGATACATCTTGGCTATATCGCCCGTGAGAGCAAACCTATTCAAACGAAACGAAAGAAGCGTTATAATTTAGTCTTGTTGAATGGTTGGCCCCACCATAAGCAATTCGTTTAATGACTGTCCTGATGTTGTTTTCGCAGAGGCGTCAAAGACAACGCGAAGTTTTGTTGTTAAACTCTGCGGTCGCAAAATGCAATGATGAGGTATGTAAAAGTGAGGTTTCATTAAGTTGACATTTTGTGCGAGTGACATATGACCCAGTGAGATATACTCGTTCATGAACTCGGAGTATAGATTCTTGAGTTGTTCATCCCGGCCAAATCTTCTCTCGAGCATTTTGAAACGTTTGCTCGCGTTGTCAAATGAGTTGCCAAGAGCATTTGGCATTGTTTTAAAAGGAAGCCTTACTTGTAGACGGCCGTCCTTCTGCACTCTTACTGTGTTGACGAAATGTTCTTCGCACATTTGTTCTTCGTCAGTAAATTTTGCTGGTTTAGTGATACAGTCTTCAACTTCCCAAAATTTTTTAACAAGTTGTTCAAGACTGCTAGCTTCTTGAACTACATTACACTGCTGCGCCTTACTGATATCAACACTCCCAATACTTCCGCCAACAATCCACCCGTACGCAGAGTTAAGCAAGCAGGGCATATTTGGACCCAGGTTGTATTTACCTTCTCGCATTGCCTCAAAAAATCCCATAGTGTTGATCAAAATATCCACTTTGGTAGATAAATAAAATTGTGGATCAGCAAGAGTTATTCCAGGAGGTAAGCACCATTCTGAGGTGTCAATTGTTTCTTGAGGTTGGTTTTCTGCAAATCTTTTTTATTACCGAAAATGTAGAAGACCACTCAAACTCTGAGCAGCGAGACCTTAACGTTGCAAATACGTTGTGACTAATCTTTTGGCGTATACCTGCGATACCGCTCACTTCTTGTTGTACGCGACGCTTTTCAAGCTGCAACAGTTTTGCTGTTTCCTCTGTAATGAAACTAATTTCAGAACATGAATCTAATAATGCGCGAACTAAGTGTAGTTGACCAAATTTGTCTCTAATTTGGACTATTGCAGTTGGGATTATGCCCTTTTTAATAGTGCGTGACACCAACAAGGCGCTTGATTGGGGCATAGCATTATTCGAGTCTTGGACCTTTGATGGAGCGGTAGAAACGGGCATTCGTAAATTGGCACCTTGCGTAAAATTGTGTAGAAGTGTGTGATGAACTGATTGACAAATTTTGCATCTAGATTTTGATTGGCATTCTTTCATGCAGTGCGTCTTTCGTAGACAGTTGAAGCATATGCCAGCCTTGCGTACATAATCGATTCGTTGCTGCAAGGATAACTCCTTGAATTTATTGCAGCTGCTGATATAGTGCGACGGTGAGTTGCAATACACACAGTTCGCATTAGTGGTCACAAACGTCTTTGAAGTTGATGCCTGTTTAACCTTGGGCTTTGCGCCACGCTGATCTGACTGATGATCGCCTTGGCTCTCAAGATATTGACATCGACGGTTTAGAGTGTTGCAACAATCCTCCCATGAGGACAGTTTATCGAAACCTTGCTGCTCGTTGTACTTCGCTTTGGTTTGGGCGTCGACCTTCGAAAGCAGTATGTGTATCATTATGTTGTTCATGATTTCTTCGGCCGACCCTATGGAAAGAAGAGATCCACGTATAGCGGATGCATTATCGACGAGTTTCTGTAGCGTCGTCGCCTCGGGTTGTGTCATCGTTGGTAACGCAAAAAGACTTGAAATTCAATCTAAAAAGATGAGTACGTCGTTGTCGTATCGAGCGTCCAATCGTTCCCACGCCTTGGAGTAGTTATCTTCAGTTATCTGAAAGGACTGCACAACTTCTAGTGCGGGTCCAGACAAACAGTTCAATAAATAATTGAATTTATCTATTGTCGCAATGTATGGGTCATTGTGTATTAAGTTTGCAAACGTGCTTTTGAACCGTTTGAAGGTTGCATACTTGCCGTCAAAGCTTGGCAGCTTCAACTTAGGCAAACGGTTATGGTGTGCAGCTCCAGCAGTCATATTAGTATTTATAAAGGAGCTTTCTGCCATGGGTGGTGCACTAGGACGACGCTTTGCTTGTAATAAAGCCATGATTTTCACCTTTGCGGCGATAAACAATTCTTCTTGTGATGCTCGTGCAGTGTCGGTGCTTTGCAAATTCTCAATCTGCGTTTGAATTTGGCATAATTGACGATAGTGCGAATCTAAAATTTGAAGTCTGCATTCGAGTACTCTTGCGTCCTCCTTGTCACCATCAGAATTTACCTTGTCGTGGAGATTAGTTATATGGCGCTCGAATACATTTCGTTGCGTTCTGAGTAGAACTAGTTTTGCTTCTACTTTGGAGTGATCGTTGCCTGCACTGGCATGCGTAACCTCATCTTCCTCGCCCATATTTAATAAATGTTCAACAAACGAAATTACTAACTCTGTTAATTCGCTCCAGTTAAGCGACAACGGTGCGTAACGCAAGGCAATTCAAGAGAAGCGTTGACAAAGGTGCGAGAGTAAAAAATGCCGTTGATAATACAGATGTACGTATATATAAGCATATACTCACAAGTAAATAGACGAATTGACTATAATGTAAATGGTATGCAAATTTGTGGTATGTATATACTTATACTTGCAATGTTATGTACTCAGTAGTGTGCACATAAATTTTCATTAGCACATGCTCCACCTATATACATATGTGACAGTACGGTACCTATGTATATGGTTGCTGGGACCCTTTGACTTTCACTTGCTCCAACGATTCCAGGCTTGGTAGCTGATGTTGAAGTGGTGTGAAAAAAATGATGTCTCGATTGGTGTGAGTTGGCGCAACTAATCCAATCGAACCTTTGCGATATTGCGGTGCACAGGTGTGTCCTGTCACGGTCGCCACTAAATGTTGCTCGACAACAAGTTAATTTGTGTGAATATGATTTTTACGGCTAGCGTACAATAAAAAATCCTCAGCTGACATCCGTCTTCGATCAATACCTTTTGCGAAGTGAAGTCCAAAGCAAAAAGCACAATATATTCTCAGTACACTTAAACCAATTTTACATATGTACATACAAAGTTTGGAGAGCAAGACTAAGGTTACCAGATTGTAAATAATACCAAATATACAATTTAATTGTAATTCAATTGAAATTCATAATAGATAAAAGTATATATAACGCCGCTAATGCCAGAATGAGTACTCAGTATCGATACGAAAGTCTGAAATTTCGAACCCTAGATGTGCTGAATTGTCGGTTACTAATACGCGGTAACCAGTTCTTGAAAAAAGAAGTTCGGAACATTACACTGGCCACACACGACGAACATATGTGGGGGCAAGGTCGCCAACAAGCACCCAGTCGTTTGCCGCAGACGGTGAGCGGTTCATATGTGATTTTGTTGTAATAGCATAAAGATGGATAGCACGAAGGCGGATGATTTAATTGCAATGTTTTGACTTAGCTTTTTTATTATTATTATTAGTTTAGTTTGGTAAACAGATGTCCATAGTACACTTGAGATATGGAGGGAACACTTTTCAATGCTTTTAAATGGCGAAACAGATGGCGCCTTTGATGAATTAGAACCCGAACCAATGTATAGGGACGAAGCTCACGTCCCTCAACTGGACCAAGACGAGGTGAGAACAGCAATAAAGCGGCTTAAGAACAACAAAGCCCCCAGAGCCGACGGTATACCGGCTGAGCTGTTCAAAGCCGGTGGCGAAGAGTTGGTGGGGCGTATGTACCAGCTTTTAAGCACAATTTGGTCTGATGAATACATGCCCGAAGAATGGAATCTCAGTGTACTTTGCCCAATCCACAAGAAGGGAGATCCCGCCGTTTTCGCCAATTATCGCGGAATAAGCCTTCTTAATATTGCATACAAGGTCCTGTCGACGATACTGTGTGAAAGACTGAAGCCGTTCACGAACCAGCTGATTGGACCTTATCAGTGTGGCTTCAGACCTGGTAAGTCCACCATTGACCAGATTTTCACAGCACTTCAAATCCTGGAGAAGACACTAGATAAGCAAATCGACACACACCATCTTTTTGTTGACTTTAAAGCTGCTTTTGATAGCACGAAGAGGAGCTGCCTGTACGACGCCATGTCCAAATTTGGGATCCCCGCAAAACTAATACGGCTATGTAGAGTGACGTTGAGCACAACCTTCAGCTCCGTCCAAATTGGGAAGGACCTCTCCGCGCCGTTAGAGACCAAACGAGGTTTTAGACAAGGCGATTCACTCTCGTGCGACTTTTTCAATCTGATGCTGAAAAGCGTAATAAGAGCTGCCAATCTGAATCGCAGCGGCACCATATATAGCAAAAGAACGATGCTGCTGGCGTATGCAGATGATATCGATATCCTAGGTCTGAAACAAAGGGACCTAACCGCAGCATTTTGCAGTTTAGAAAAAGGAGCTAAAGAGGTTGGTCTAGCGGCGAACGAGGGAAAGACAAAGTACCTCCTGGCAACATATAAAGAGTCCACGCGCTACGGGACACACGTCACTGTTGGCAGATATAACTTTGAAGTAGTGAAGGACTTTGTCTACCTAGGATCCAGCATAAACACCACCAACAATGTCAGCCTGGAGATCAAGCGAAGAATAACTCTTGCCAACAGGTGCTACCTTGGGCTCGGTAGGCAATTGAAAAGCAGAGCCCTCTCTCGACGAACGCTCTACAAATCTCTCATCATGCCCGTCCTTTTATATGCCGCAGAATCTTGGACGATGTCGAGCAAAGATGAGAAGGCTTTGGGGGCTTTCGAGAGAACTATTCTACGCAAAATCTACGGCCCTGTTTTCGTGGATGGCGGATATCGGAGAAGATGGAATGAGGAACTGTATGAGCTTTTTAACGACATGGACATAGTAAAGCGCATAAAAATACAGCGATTGCGTTGGCTTGGACATGTTGTACGCATGGATGACGACTCTCCGGTGAAAAGATCATTCGACTCCGCACCCATGGGTGGACAACGAAAGCAGGGCCGCCCACGAACGCATTGGAAGGACCAAGTGCAGAAGGACCTGTCTGCGCTCGGGATAACCAACTGGCGCAAATTCGCGCAGGAGAGAAGCAATTGGAAAAGCTTTTTGGTCTCGGCTCAAACCGACAAACGGTTGTTGTGCCAAATAAGAAGAAGAAGGAGATTAGTTTAGTTTATTCTTAGCCAATTAATACAAAAAATTCTTATAGGCTAAGTGGAGGAACACCTAAAGAATACGGACTCTTGAGCCAGGGAAAAAAGTGGGTGTGGCCCGCCCCTTTTCCGGGTTTTAACGGCATATTTTTTTTTTGTGCAAATTGACAGGGGCGGCGATAGGGGGGGGCTAAACGTGGAATTTTCCCCATTTTCAAAAGTTTGTTTCGAAAACTATTGAACCGATTTTCTAAATATGGACACAGTTGGAAAGGTGATTGAAGGGCCTTTCAATCGATATATATATCTATGTATATAATGTATACACATTGAGAGAAAAAGTAAAAAACGAAATTATGGCAATTTTTTTTATAAAAATGTGTTTTTCTTTAAAAAATACGTAATTAACTATATTAACAGATATGTTTATCAGAAAGACCACAAAAATACCGTTAATTTGATATATGCCTTGTAGCAAAAATTCTTGTGGATATCATATTTGACTAAATATATATAAAAAATATAGTTTTATATGAAAAAGGAAAAGCGATTGAGTTGTAGAATTAAATGGATAATTAATCAAGCTACGCTATCCACAGTATTTTTGGGTAGAATTCCTTTCTGCGTAGGCGGCCTTCGGCCGCGCTTAGGGACTATAACCCTCACAACGTAGAATTCTTTTTTCTGTGTTGCCAAATATAAGGGGCTGAACACCTTTTGCAGAGATCACCTGTCTGCGTAGGCGGCCTCTGGCCGCGCTTAGGGATTATAACCCTCACAACGTAGAATTCTCCTTTCTGTGTTGCCACAGAAAAGGGGCAGAACACCTTTTCCAGAGAACAGCTTTTTGCGTGGAACTCTCCTTTCTGCGTGCGAAGAAAAGGAATAGAAATCCCCTTTTCACAAAAGTATTTTTCTTGTGCATTATTTAGGGGTTTTTAAAGTTGAAATACAAATTGTATTAATAGAGTGGCAGCACCAGTTTTCCTCCATCTTATTTATATTAACTACACCAGACTTTACTTTTTCTCAAAATATGTTGCAATTATATTGTTACGATTATCCTTGAACCCTCGTCCGGATTTCCCAAATCCTCCGGTTCCTATCGCTGGATTGTTAAATAAAGGCTAACGATGACCAAATGGTAGTACAATTAACTTTATTGTACAACAAACAATTTTACAATACTTGCTAATACAGTAAAAACACTACAATACTTGTTAAAGCAATTACAACGCTTTACTA